TGCTTATGCCACTCTTAAAGCTGATGTTAAATATTAAAAAGAAACCTGTCAGCCTGGTGCGGTGGCTCACAGCTGTAATCTCAGCACTTTGGGGGGCCGAGGTGGGCGGCTCATGAGGTCAAGAGATTGAGATCATCCTGGCAAACATGGTGAAACCCCTTCCCTACTAAAAATACAAAAATTAGCTGGGCCTGGTGGCACGCACCTCTGGTCCCAGCTACTCAGGAGGCTGAGGTGGAAGAATTGCTAGAACCCAGGAGGTGGAGGTTGCAGTGAGCCAAGATTGTGCCACTGCACTCCAACCTGGTGACAGAGCAAGAGTTCATCTGAAAAAAAAAAAAAAAAAAAAAAAAGAAAGAAACCTTTCCCAAAATGTACTTGGGGAAAACAAAAACTGGGATGAGAGAATGTAGTATAACAAAAACTATTCCGTTTCACCTCGTACTTAAAAGTTTTGTTCATCTAGATAGTGAAAATATTCCTAGAAATGCCTTAACGTGTAACCAGGTGTGGAATCAACTTCTGGGCATTAGGGAAAATAAGTAAGTCCATAGTTACACTCCCCACTTTCTGCTAATTTCATTTCGAGTGTATTTTTTCTTTCAAATTTTCTTTCTTTCCTGATCCCCTTTGAAAGAATACTTATAGTTATGTTTGTTTTTTCTTCTTTTTAATTTTTTAACCAACCAAATAAACACCACAGACATCATAGTTCTTTGTAAAACCGTATTCCTGTCCTAGCCAGGGTAACCCAACAGCCTCTCATGGCTGCCAAGACCTCCAGATTGGACCCTTTCCTCTCACTTCCTCCAATCTCTATTGAAAGGGCCTTAGTGCCTGGTTCTAGTTCCGGGTTGTCAATAGCAAGTCATGTGGCCTTAGTTCAATCTTAGCCCTGTGGCATCACTACTATTCTGTTTTAAAAGGTGGAAGAGGATGTGGATGTTGTCTGAGGTTCCTGCTGCTTTTTATATCCAGAGTGTTGCCCATGGCGTTTCTGCTCCTCCCCAGAAGACTGGGGCATGGAGTTGTAAGGGGGTGGGTTTCTCTGCTGAGGGTCCTCCTTCTGCAGTCCTCTGTGTCTGAGCATGCATGACTGATGCTGAGCACATCCTCACTGGGAGGAAAAGCCATCACTCCGCTCCAGACAGAGGGGATCAGGAGTAAATGAGCTGATGTTCCTGGCTGCTGGTTGGGCATAGTTGGGGTTCCTATATCCTGCACCCCAGGCTGACAAGATGTTCATGGGAATTCAGGGGTATTTTCTTCTCACTTGTGGATGGTGCTTCCCCCTTCACAGTCCAATGCTCACCCTCAGCTCAAGCTGCCAGCAGGAGGTCTGTCTGCCACTGGGATATGATCACCTAGCAGTCCGTCCAGACTCAGCCTTCAGGAGGACCTGACAAAAATGCTCATTTGATTATTTTTTTCTCTCTCCTTTACAGGCACCAAATAGTGTCAGAAGGATGCAAAGAATGAAAGGATGTCAGGAAAAAAAAGGGGTTGCAAGCTTTTCCACTTGATGAAAAAACACTAAAATGGCAAAGCAAGTTCAAGTCCAAATACAAGTCACTGCAGGAATCCTTCACTGAGGATTCAACTTTAGACCACAGAATGCTCTTGTTGATTTCAGCTCACTAGGCTCCTTTTATTCATCCCCCTCCAATTGTGATCAGTACCAAGGGAGTCCAATTCCCAGATGGACAAACAGCATTGACAAGACTTAACCCTGCTCCTGCCAATTTCTATCCTGTAGAGAACAGGAGTCCAGAGCTGCCGCAGAGGACAGCATGTCACCCAGGACTCTGTCAGGGCAGAGTATCAACAATGTTATCTTCTTGCTGAAAACTTTGTCTGTAGAGGACAGATCAGCTGTCTGGCTCAAAGGTCTACATTCTGAAGTTGACTGAAAGGGTCCTCATGATTAAATTTATCTTAAACATTTTGCCAGGAGCACTGCAGAGTCAATGTTATGAGCTTCCTTCCTCAGTCCATCTGCGGGCAGAAAAGGCCCAGTGTGTCCATCCCCATTATGGTGATACTAGCTAGAATGGTCACTTGGTTAAGGAGGAGTCTAGGAGCTCTGTCCCTTGTAAAGACACCTTATTTGTAATTAATTTGAAAAATGGTTTGAAAAACTGTAAACATCTGGATTCTAACCATCTTCCTCTGACCATTTTATCATCAATTAATCACCCGTCTGTGTTAGTTATTATGTTTATATTTGTACATTGGGAATATTCTATCTCAAAATTTTACCATGTACTTGTTTTTACTGGCATTCTTCACAAAAAAGAATATTCCCCACCCAAATTTTAACTTTCATCCAAAATTAATTTTAATTTGTTTTGCTGGCATTCTGTTGTGGAAAAGAATATTCTCTGCCCCAGTTTTAACTTTCACCCCAAATTAATTTTAGTCTATTAGTTATAATGTTTAAACTTTAAATTTGTTTAATTAAAATTTTTTTCCCCATTACTCCGGACTAGCAGATTTTTTACACATAATGTTCTAAGTTTTTATTTTTATGATTGGTTTGCCAGATAATCCTATAGATTAATAAAAACATTCTTATTTTTCTGTTTATATTCTAAACTCTTCCATATTTTAGTCTATATTTATTATATGAGGTAGATTGTGTTTTCTGCATTTCTTTGTTGGTGTTACTTGTATTCTTTGTGTGTGTGTGTGTGTGTGCGTGTGTCTGTGTACGTGCGTGCATGTGTGCCATTTTTTGTTATTTAAGAAGAGTTGTATAGCTCTTGTTTAACATTGCACTAAGGTTTTGACATCACTAATCCCCTTTTAACTTGAGACACTTCCACTATTTGGTTTATACATTTTAAATTATATCTTTGAACTTCAGATTTTTACCACTATAACAATCAAAGCATTATTTTCCTCTTCTCTATCCTCTTTACCTGCCATTTCTTATTTGTCAGTTCAGCCCAAACATAAAGTGACAGCCTGTGTCCCACCTGTTCCCACCTTGGTTTTTGGTATAGATCTACAATTAAATATGTTGACCCACATGTGCTATTCAAACCTGTGTCCTATGTATCCCTTGTTGAGTGGAATTTATCCATAACAGAGTCCTCCTGAGGGAATAAGGTCTTGCTGACTTTTGCTTAGGGAACTTTTCCCAGTCTTCATCCATGGGTCACATCACCGGATATACAGTACTTGCTAAAAAGCATTTTTCTTATCATTTTAGGATGTACTGTTTGGCGTTGGGAGACAGCACGTTTCCTCTCTCTGGGATTCTACTTTGTTCTACCAGGACATTTAATTTCTGCCAGTTACTTCATTCATTCTCGTCACTACAAGTCTCCAGAGGATGCTTCCTTTGTCCAAGCCTCCCGGTCTCCCAGCAATCCTGCCCTTGGAAGATTGTTCCCTCTGGTCCTCTGTACTGTGAAGCCCCTGCCCATCCATTCCCCAGTAGCTGGGTTCTGATCCACCAGGTCTCAGGCATGTTCTGTGTTTCTCCACACTGGCTGTCTGAGGATGGTTTTTCTGGGTGTTCTGTCGTGAACAGGCCCTCCGTGCTGTGCTGGTTTCTATTTGCATAGTGTTTCCTGCTCCCTCTGCTGTTGTGTGGCTCCCAGATCCAGCTAAATAAAATCACCTGAGGGCCACAGTGTTCCCTAGCCCTGGTTGGGGGCAGGATTATGGGTGGCATTTTTGACTGTGTTAATCCCTAGGGCTTTGAAGTGTATGTGGAAAAATTCAGCTTTTATCTCTCATACTTCTTCAAATGCAGAACTTCAGTAGTGTAAAAAAGGAGACAGAATCATACAGTAGAACATCCCCATGTTCACTGGCCAGCTTCAGCAATAGTCATTGAATAGCTGAACTTTTTAAAATACAGTCCTTCCTACTTACTTACGAAATGTGTGTGTGCGTATATATGTACACAGCATGTGTGTGTGTATATATGTACACAGCATGTGTGTGTGTGTGTGTGTGTGTGTGTGTATATGTTTGGACATATGATTATGGAGGCTGCAATTCCCAAGATGGGAAGCTGGACACTCAGGAAAGCATTTTCTTCTCATTGACCTTTTCCTTCTCCTCTGGCCTTTGGCTGATTGGATGAGGCCCGGCCACCACAGAGAGGGCATCTGCTTCACTTAGTTTGTCTAGTTTAGTGTTAATCTCGTCCAGAAACAGCTTCCAGCACACACCCAGAAAAATGCTGCAACAAATGTCCTGGCACACCGGGGCTCCGTAAACGTTATACACAAAATTACCCAGTATACAGGACCTTTGACCTATGTGGGGTTTTCATATTCTTCTCCCAATTTGTAGCTTTTTAGTCTATTAACAGTGTCTTGTGCTGAGGAATAATGTTTAATTTGTATCAAGTTGAACAAAAAAAACCAAAAAGATAGTAAATATATGCAAAGATCAATAGCTAATGCATATAAAAGTACCACAGGAGGGCCAGGCGCGGTGGCTCACACCTATAATCCCAGCACTTTGGGAGGCCGAGGTGGGTGGACCACGAGGCCTAGAGATCGAGACCATCCTGGTCAACATGGTGAAACCCCACAATAATTAGCTGGACATGGTGGCAGGAGCCTGTAGTTCATCCCAGTTACTAGGGAGGCTGAGGTTGCAGTGAGCCGAGATCTCGCCATTGCACTCCAGCCAGGCTAAGGAGAGGAAAACTCCATCTCAAAAAAAAAAATAAATAACTCATTTCAGCTGGATGAAATAAAGGCATCACTTCTATTTTGAGTGTTTTCTTCTGCATGTGGGCAAAGGAGAGTCTTGCAACTTTGTTGCTAATAGATTCTCTGATTATTTTGCAGTTGCCTAATGGCGTCTACAAAACAGCTCATGGGGTTCAAGCAGGATTTTACCACATCTGATTTAACCTAGAGGGATTGACAATAAGGTTAGGAGAGAGGCTAGCTAAGAGGAAACCTATCAGAAGCTTATCTTAACTGAGATCATGTAAAACTCAGAGTGCCTAACTGGGCTTGATCACCGACCTTTTAGTTAGCAGACAGAAGAACTCAAGGTCACGCAGCAGAAACACACATTCTCTTCAGCCTTCACATTGCAGCACTCTGGGCTCCTCTGCCTCGTGCAACTGCACCAGCTCCAGGAAACATTCAGCCTGTCTGCAGCTACCATTAGGCGTCTGCAAAACAATCAGAGAATCCATTAGCAACAAAGTTGCAAGACTCTCCTTTGCCCACATGCAGAAGAAAAGACTCAAAATAGAAGTGAGGCCTTTATTTCATCCAGCTGAAATGAGGTTTTTTTTTTGTTTTTTTTTTTGAGATGGAGTTTCGCTCATGTTACCCAGGCTGGAGTGCAATGGTGCAATCACAGCTCACCGCAACCTCTGCCTCCTGGGTTCAGGCAATACTTCTGAAGGAGGCTGAGTAGCTGGGATTACAGGCACGCACCACCATGCTGAGCTAATTTTTTCTATTTTTAGTAGAGACGGGGTTTCACCATGTTGACCAGGATGGTCTGATCTCTTGACCTTGTGATCCACCCGCCTCGGCCTCCCAAAGTGCTGGGATTACAGGCGTGAGCCACCGCGCCTGGCCCTTCTGTGGCACTTTTATATGCATTAGCTATTGTTCTTTGCATATATTTACTATCTCTTTGGTTTTTTGTAAAATTGGGGTAATCATGTGTGTGGTAGGTCTAGAAAGTGGTTGGAAGTCAGAGGTCACCTAGGGGCCACATAATGTAATGGTCAAGTGAGTGGGTTCTGGTTGTTACTCTAGAGTTGGACAGGACTGGTTGGAAAAATATTCTTCCTCTTTTCAACTGTGTGACTGGAGCAAGTTCTGAAACTTCTTAACTTTATAACTTCAGGAATGAAGTGGAAATAATAACAGGGTGGTGGTGAGAATTGAATGAAATCATGCCTATGGAGAGCACTGACTTTCCCAGGCACATTGTAAGTGTTTGGTGAGCATTAACTAGTCAGTTCATGGGAGTGGGTTGGCATTATTGCCAGAACCAGGATTTATTCCTAAGTCCAACTCTTCTATGACCCCAGTCTCCTAAAGCAATTGTTTCTCATCCTGAAAATTCTTTCTTTTTCATGTTCTACTTATAAACTTGATGGAGGCCATTTCCAATTATCTGTAATCTGAAATACGCTTGGAAAGATGACATATGGCCTTATATTAATACACTAAATCTTTGGTTGCCAAGTTGTTTCTTTAATAGTTCTTCCCCTTGAATTGTTTTAAGTTCTACAAACACAATATATGCCATTCTCTCTGTGCAAAAGCAATACAGTAACTATTAATTAGAACTGGGGAAAGGAAACTGGCCCTTGAATTATCAGGAGGCATGATGCCCACCATGCCAGCAGAGCAAAGTGTGGAAAAGAAGCTTGTAGGCGCCAAACAGCAGAGGCAAGTAGCCTGAACTTGGGAGGCAATGAGGATTGATGACACAGAGCTTCGTGGTAGACTTCTGCAAAGGAAAAGATGGGTTACCGTGACACACAGTTATCTTTTAATCACCCCATTCTCTGTGCTTCCTTAGTTCCCAGTATGAGGTCGCAGTTGAGAACTCAGAAAAGCAGGAAGCCAAATAATTGAGGCCTTATTGAGGAAAAAATGCATATGTTTTGGTGTCAAAAAATGAGTTTGAGATTTGAATTGAGAAATAACTAGCAGTATCACTTTATCCAAATTATTTCCTCATCTGAATCTCCATTTTATAAAATGGAGGAAGACGGTAATAATACAAATGTAGAACAGAATTTCTGTTCGTTGTTGGTTTTTGTTTGTTTTATTTCTCAGAGTTGTTGGAAACACCCTGTGATATGATGGCAGGAAAAGGTTTTATCTTGGTTCAGGAAGTAGGCAAATATTTACTGAGTTACCTATGTGCCAGGTACAGTTACATTCTAAAATAATATACAGAAGAATTACTGTTTTAGTTGTGATTGTGATACTAGACATCAGTTGTTGGACCACAGAATAACAGTTGAATACTCTCCTGGCACCTGAGTCCTATCTCTAGAGTATTTTTACAGTTCAGCCACATAAAGACACTGGCTGTCCCTGGCACATGCCCAGCCCAGTCAAACTCTCCATTTTCACTCATGCTGCTATTTCTTCCTGAATGCTCTCGTTATCTCTCCTAACTGTCCACATTATGCTCATGGCTCAGATATTTGTATTGAATATAAGCCCAAGCAGACTTAGCCCCAGAGCCCATCTTTTTAAAATAATATATGGCACTTCTTCTCAGGGCTTCTCCAACTTTAATATATCTAAAGATCACCTGAGACTTTTTTAAAATGCAGGTTCTGAGACTCTACCTTTCAAGTAAGATCGTAGACAGTGCTGATGCTGCTAGTATTTGAGTCACACTTCGAGCAGCCATGTCCTGGAATACTAATTCTGGGCCCACAGTATTCATTGTCAAGAATGCACAATCACATTTGCTGAAATTAAAATTTACTGGCAAATTACTTTCTGCTAATACACATAACAAGGGAAAGGTATGGTGGTTTTAACCTAGCAAGAGACATGTGAGCATAGAGAAGTCACTCAGCCTCCTTGAGCCTACGTTTCTTATAAAACAAGCCCTGTGGCCAGGTGCGGGGGCTGAAGCCTGTAATCCCAGCACTTTGGGAGGCCAAGGCGGGTGGATCACGAGGTCAAGAGATCGAGACCATCCTGGTCAACATGGTGAAACCCTGTCTCTACTAAAAATACAAAAAACTAGCTGGGCATGGTGGCACATGCCTGTAATCCCAGCTATTTGGGAGGCTGAGGCAGAAGAATTGCCTGAACATAGGAGGCGGAGGTTGTGGTGAGCCAAGATCGTGCCATTGCACTCCAGCCTGGGTAACAGCAGCGAAACTCTGTCTCAAAAAAAACAAGCCCTGTGCCCATTCCTGGATTGCTTCCCTCACAGTGCCACTGTGAGCAGTTTCAGCATACATGTATCTAACTACCATGCAGCCCTATTTTAAAATAATTCTTTTCACTGAGTTTACCTTTCCTTTCATTCCTAAGTCTCTTTGAAAGCTTTTTCTATGGTCATTGTGATCGAACTAAAAACAGTGTCAAGAGGCAATTGGTGTTTTCTGGTTGTCAGAGCCTCTGCTAAAATAAAAGTAAAACATTCCAGAATCAAGACCTTACAAAGGAAAGAAATATGCCTGAGTGCCACTGATGATTATTGTCTTTTCCTCAAGCAGCCTGCTTTTAGTACATTTCTTTCTGTTTCATAAATTTGCATTTTCTCTCTCTCTCATGGCATGGAAATACCGGCTCTGAGGTCAGACATTTGGTTGAATATAGGCATTGTTGATTCCAACTGACTTAGCTAAATTGAGACAAATTTTTTTCAATCTGATAATCTATAAAGTAAAATTAATCATAATAAGAAGGAGGAAAAGGAAGAGGAAAGGGAGAAAAAAGGAGAAGGTAAAGAAGGAGAAGAAAGAGGACAAAACTCTTCCTAAGTTTTATGAAAGTTTTATTTATTTAAGATACTGGTGTACTATCTGGCTTGCTGTTGGGTGTTAGTGAATGTTAATTTCTACCCCCAGCCTATCCTTAGCCATTTTTTATTGATTTTTTCTCTTCTCTTTCTTTCCAAAATTATTCTTTTTCTTAAAAAATAATTTTTACCTTAAGTTCAGGAGTTTCTTTTGTCATAGGGGTTTGTTGAATGAATTTCACATTGTGAGTTTATTCTTTTATCCATTCATCTATTTACATCTACATTTAGTTTTGGATGACGTAGGATAAAGTAAATTCAATGAAGATTAATTTCCACCCCAAAATAGGTGAAAATTGTTCTTTATCGAATAATTGTTCTTCTACCTTATCCAATAACATATGTAGAAATAAATGCATAAATTAATAAAAGAATAAACTGGCAATGTGAGTTATAAATATAATACCTCACATTTTAATTTTCCTTTTCTATTTCTGCCTTTTTGAATCTCTGAAACATTTTCTTATTTTGGCCTCACAACATCTTTATGTTATTTTTAGCCTTTCATGTGAGCATATTTGTTTTTATCTATGGTTCTTGTTTCTATGACTTATCAACTTGACTGAGAACCTTTTTTTTTTTTTGAGACAGAGTTTCACTCTTGTTACCCAGGCTGGAGTGCAATGGTGCGATCTCGGCTCCCCGCAATCTCAGCCTCCTGGGTTCAGGCAATTCTCCTGCCTCAGCCTCCTGTGTAGCTGGGATTACAGGCACATGCCACCATGCCTAGCTAATTTTTTGTATTTTTAGTAGAGGCAGGGTTTCACCATGTTGACCAGGATGGTCTCGATCTGTTGACCTTGTGATTGACCCGCCTTGGCCTCCCAAAGTGCTGGGATTACAGGCTTGAGCCACTGTGCCCGGACTTGACTGAGAACTTTGTAAAGACGAGGCCTATTTATCTCTGAATCAGCTGTGTCAAGTACAGTGCCTTGTATACAAGATTTCCTCAATAATGCTTGTTGAGTCAGTGGATGAAGGAAGAAATGAAGGAAAGAAGGAAAAAGAAAAGAAAAGTAGGAAAAGAGGACGTGAATGTGATGTTACTTTTCTAGATTGAAAACTACGCATCTTGCACAGTACCTGGCACATAGTAGGTGTTCAATACCTATTCATCGAAGATATGTAATTATAAATTTTAGACCTGGATAGCTTCCCAAGTGTAAAGTAGATAAGAAGAATTATTTTCTTCTGGGGCTTATGATGACAAACATAAAAGTAACTGGGGAAAAATGGAGAAAGAGAAGCCATCTTATTTCTGGGCACCTATGTCAAGCTGTCATGTTAGTGTCTGCCTTGCTTTCACAGGCTAATGGTTGCCAGGGCAACAGCAGTGCCAAGACTTTGCATTCCTGTAGTTTTCCATTGATAATTGCTAATGTGAAAAAGTGCTGGCTTGTACTTTACACCTTCCTTGCTTATAAGTCTACCTTAATTGGATGTGCCAAGATTAAGAAAAAAGTAATCTGCCCTTTCAAGACAACTGACAGAGAGATGAAGTGTTGTTTGGGCCTTTATTGTTACAATTTTGCTGACAAGATTACTATGAATTGTCTTCTCCAGATGCATAGCCTGTCTTTGTTGACAGAACCCTAGTGTTTATCTTCTGGGGTGGTATATGAAGTCAGGGGGAAACTGATGAAATGTTTAGAGCAGTTTGGTTGTAATTCACTTGTTTTTTTTTTTCTTCAGGTACAATAAAAAGAGATGAGACATTAAAGAGGAGCCCAAGGGGCATGAGAAGTTAGGAAGGCACAAAAGGATACAGATAGCCTACTACGTGCAAGACATTGTTTTGGCTTTTCTAGCACACATGATTGTAACCTTCCCAGTGCCCCTGTGAAGCAGATGTTAGTATCTCCAGGATAGAGATGTAAAAACTAGCTCAAAGTTGAATTCTTTTGTTTAAATTCTCAGAGTGAAATTAAGACATGTTGCCAGCATTCAGACTCTGGTTTTCTTGTTTTTTGTTTTGTTTTGTTTAATTTTTATTTTGTTTGGTTGTTGTTGTTGAGACAGAGTCTAGCTCTGTTGCCCAGGCTGGAATGTGGTGGCACATTCTCGGCTCACTGCAACCTCCGCCGCCTAAGTTCAAGTGAGTCTCCTGCCTCAGCCTCCAGATTAGCTGAGATTACAGGCATCTGCCACCACTGGTTTTCTTAATGCTGAAACTTGTTCTTTTATTTATTCCTGGCTCTGTATGGCAGTTTGGACAAGTCACTTTTTTCCTAATTGTAACTTCCCTTTGCTGTTCTTAGTTTTGGTCTCTAAAGTCTTCCTAAGGCAGCTTACTCCCTCCTGCACCAGCAGCTCTGCTAGCAGTAAAACATATTTACTTCAGATTAGGAAACATTTACTCAGAGCCTACCAGATACCAGGCACAGTGTTAGGTGCTAAAGAGACAAATGAGTAACTTATGGCTGTTTTAAAGGAGCCTACATCTGGAGTCTAGATTCCATAAAGAAGCAAATGAATTCAGTTAGGTCCAGTCTGTTAAAAAGAAAGAAGTTGGCCGGGCGCAGTGGCTCATGCCTGTAATCCCAGCACTTTGGGAGGCCGAGGCAGGTGAATCACGAGGTCAAGAGATCGAGACCATCCTTGTCAACATGGTGAAACCCCATCTCTACTAAAGATACAAAAAACTAGTTGGGCATGGTGGCACATGCCTGTAATCCCAGCTACTCGGGAGGCTGAGGCAGGAGAATTGCCTGAACACAGGAGGCGGAGGTTGTGGTGAGCCAGGATCACACCATTGCACTCCAGCCTGGGTAACAAGAGTGAAACTCTGTCTCAAAAAAATAATAAAATAAAAATAAAAAGGAAGAAGTTAGTGCGTGCACTATTGATGAGCATAAAGGAGGAGGAGGGTTCAGTGAGGCGTTTTGGGGAAAGCTGAAACGTCAAAGGCTGGTGAGTTTTTCTGGAGAATAGCACCAGCAAAGTCTGAGAGG